GTCAGAGTTTGGGCAGGGGGCAGCCCTTGTCTTGTTATCAGTGTGGACAGCCTGGGCACCTGATGAGGTTTTGCCCGCAGTTGAGTGCCACTTCGGGGGCGTCTGGTTCTTATCTGTGGATATTGTTGTTATACATATCTGTTGAGAATGTGGGTAGTGCTTATATGCCTATCCGTTGAAAAAGGGGAAAATGAAAGGAAACTTGGACTCATAAGTCGTATGACATAAATGTGTGATTTATGTGAATGTATCGGTGTTGGCCATCTATCAATTGCTAATATTTTAGTCATTGTTCATGGTTGGTTTAGTATATTTCTACTGGGCTGTGGCTCACCCTATATGGGAATATCATTTTCAGGTACAGGAAGCATGCCACCTCCAAGGACATAGCTTGGGAGGCTAGAGGCGGACACATTGTTGTCGTTTTTACTTGTTGATGTATTACATGTAAATTCAAGCCAAGGGCTTAAGGTGTATGAGTTAGTACTCTTTTTGTTGTAACCAAGTGTTAACTTGGAAAGCTGTAAGCCCGTGGGGCATTTTGCTTTTGTTGTTAACATGTAATACTTATGTAATGAAACTCTCATGAAATGAAAGAATGTGGAACTTTGTATATAAAATGCATGTCTTATTTAATGGGTTTAACGTTACTATTTTGAGGGCGTTACATGTTGGCTGGAGGGCCAGCAAGCCATTTTGCAGAGAACCCCAAAATCTCCACAAGCCAGTAGTAGAAGAAGTGAAAATAGACAAACATAGATTCATTTAAGAAATTGAGAGAGAGAAGCAGGGGCATTGAGATACAAAGCAAAAGGGAACAAACCAGTAAGGGCAGACTGAAGCACCGATCTCGCACGGCAGCAGCAAACGATCAAGAGTGAAATCGTGAGGGAGAGAGAACTACGAATTCTGAGATAAGGATGTGCAAGAGTGAAATCGTGGAGATTGATTTGGGGAGATTCGATGAGAGAAAAAAAAAAGGAGGGAATTTTAAGAGGGAATTGTCCACTGCCGATCAGCACCTGCTCTACCCCAAAAAAATAAATAAAACAAAATAAAATAAAATATTCAAAACAATTTTTAGATTTGTTTTTTTAAAAAAAAATTAAAAATAATTTCAGAGCAATAAAAATCAAAATTATATTTTTAAAAATTTTAAAAAGTATTTATGACCTAAAAGATTAAAAAAAATCAAAAAAAGATTTTAGATTTGTTTTTTTTAAAAAAAATTAAAAATAATTTTAAAGCAATAAAAATCAAAATTATATTTTTAAAATTTTAAAAAGTATTTATAACCTAAAAGATAAAAACATATAAAAATAATAAGTTTTTTTTTTCACCCAATTTTTTTTCAGTTTTTTAGGAAAAAAAATTTGAAACTAGTTTCTGAAAATAAAAACAAACGTATTGAAATTGATAATCTAACCATATTATTTGAAAAAGTTTAAATTATCTCAAATTAGTCATCTCAACTTAAGAGTGTGTTTGGGCTCAATGGGTTCATTTTGTGATCTAATTCAATGATCATTTTAATTTTACAATTCAGTAACTAAAATATTTAAAACTCTTTCAAAAATTAAAATAAAAAACACAAATCACTAAATCACATCATTCCACTAGCAAAACTTTTACCGACGAATAGTGTCATCGTCGCTAAATGGTTAACTCTTTGCCCACACCAACTTGTCGTCGCCAAAAGTAAGCACACTAATAGCAACGCTCATTGTGTTCCTAAAACATAAGTCTCGTAGGTAAAAGTTTTGAAATTTTGGCGCCAACCAAAAAATTTGGCGCTAAAATAATGTTATGCCTTTTTAGCAACAGCAACAAATTGCGTCTGTAAAGGTATACTTTTACCAACGAAATTGATCACTGTGTCGCCCAAAATATACTTTAGGCGATGAAAAATTGACGTCGTCGCCAAAAGTAGTCGCCAAAAGTGCAATTTCTTGTACGTGTATGAGATTTTTCTTTAATTTAATCGAATTTATCTTATTTATTTAGATTAAGAGGGAGATATCCGTAATGAAGCTTGTTAGACATCCAAATGTCATTCGTCTGCATGAGGCATGGGCTCAATAAGTCTATAAGCTTTTCGTTGACGGAGTATTAATTTTCTAATGTCACTGAATAGGATGGATCTATTCTTAATTTCTTCTCCTAATGTAGAATATTGTTTTGTTAGGTTCTGGCGAGTTGTACAAAAATCTATATAATCTTGGAATTTATTAAAGGTGGTGAATTGTTTGACAAAATTTTAAGTCTCTAGTTTGAGTTTCATTATGCATTTTCTATTCTTTGACATACATTGAACTGATGATGATGTGCATTTTTATGCAGGTTCACCATGGAGAACTTAATGAAGCTGAATCCAAGAGATACTTCCAACAACTCACTGATGGTGTGAATTATTGCCACATTAAGGGAGTCTACCATAGAGATTTGAAAGCATTCCTTCTTTGCCATTTTGAAGGCTATTGTGCTATTTCTGTTTACTCTAATTCCTACCATTGT